TATCAAATCTGTGTTAGAGCATTTCACATACTTGAAATTCTGAAATAGTTTCAGAGGGATTGATAATTATAATTTTGCATCACCTCAGCCGTGAAGTTTACCATGTCCTATTTGCAATGGAAAACATGGGAATTATGGATTACATGGTAAATGGTACTGCAAAAATGGAAATCAGCTCCCTTATGATCCTGAATTAGTGAAGTTCTATTCTCAAGATAAGTTGGAATATTGTCTTACCTGCAACATTTTAAGCAATAAACTAAAGTTCGCAATTGTACTGTAGCATAAGATGAAAACAGATCATGTGAAATCAATCACCCGAAAAAATATACTCATTGCCATGATAAATGCACTGCCAAAATAATAGGACTGTGCAAATTTCAAGGTAAATGAAATTTTGGTCATATGAGAATTTTTTTTTATTATATTAATATTTATATATCATGCCGAATCTCTTAACAAACAATCAGGATAGTACAGCTTATAAAGAGCTGGAAGGCGCTTTGCTAAGGCAGAACTACTTTGAAAAATGGCATATATTTAGGGGATGGAAGCATGGATGTAAGGTTTGTGAGGAATGCGATCATCACTCACATCTGTATTGCAAAAGGTGTAAGAAGATGGCGGAAGGAATTTATAAGCGATGTGAATGTCCTCAAGTAATTTGATCAATAAAGCAATGGTGCAAATTTACCAGACATTTTAGGAATTGTGTGAAGCAAATTGTGCTATTATTTTTTTTATTATAGCTTGATAAATCAATGCGCAGTAATATTAAAGTAATCGTTACATTTATCACGGGAACAAGTAATAATTTATTCTCAAACTTTCTCGCACATTCTCAAAAATTATGTATAACCCCTTGATGATCCTTATATATGGATAGCGATAAATTCTTTATTGTTAAATTAAGGGGATGTCGTTGATCAGATTTTCGTGATGCGATCATATTAACGTAATTTTCCCCAAAAGCTTATTCCAAGATCGATCCTGCAAATTGTACAAAAAGGTGATATCCCGGCTAGTGAATCCTTTTATCTGCCTCATGCAGTAAAAAAGCAAAAAAAAATTCAAATCAATCAAGCTTACCATTATTAAAATCATTGATATTAACAATCAAACGAACTTGCATTTTCCACAAAGTCATAATAAAGTAAGTTAGTTTATTGCTCGGCTAGCTTCTTGAAACATGTCATCACGATGTTAATCGATTTTCCTGCCTCTATAGATGTTCCAAAATAAAACGGGCATATTACTCTTCTTGTTATATATCGGCATTTTGATCTTCGCCAAGAAAATCTTTGACAATCACGCGTACAATAGACGCAGTGAAACTATTCACATGAATCTCATCACATGCCTTAACATCACACTTCTCAACAAAATTTGGCGCAATGTGTTAACAATAATAATTCTTGGTATTTGGCGCAGTATCGTACGGGCAATAAAAAAATCGAATTACCTTTATTGTAATGCATTAAGTAATAAATTTCAGGCGGAATGGAATGTTGCGAAAATTAATAGTAATGGTAAGTGTGAATCGGAAATATTTTTTTTTACCTCAGTTGCTAATCTCCCGAATTTATCCATAGATTCGAAATTACTTAATCTCCGAGAAGTTTCATTACGTGGAATATAACGATAATATTAATCTTAAAAATGTAGTCAATATCTCCAAAAATTAGGCGATACGATCAGTCATGTGACTTTGAAAAGTACATCGTAATCCAATTGGTCATTCTTTTTATATTTTCACGTCAAAGCAACGCTAATTTTAACTAAATAAATGTCTGAAGTTAATTATATGAATTATTTCACGAAAAAACATTTAGACTGGGATGTTATTGATTTTTTAGAAAAATGCGTTCTTGAACCGTTCGATAAGAAAGTAAATCAATATATCAGGTGCCTCGACTTTATAGCTGATGACAAAGACGAGCAAGTATGCAGAAGGAGAAAGGCTGATGCTCTTCTTAAGAGATATAGGAACGTAAGGATTTTTTTTAAGAAATGGGAACGAAAAATAAGTGGCGTGGCAGGGGTCCAGGATTACTCGGCTCTTGTCATTCAAGGCCGATATATATGTATATTCGCTGAGCCACAAAACCGATGCGGGGCACTAATAGCCCAGTTGCTAACCCAATCCGGCTATTTGATGTTCAAGGCCAAGTGCTTGTAAGCACCTCGCTAACCTAGCAGTGGTCCCACCAGGGCATAGACAGCCCAATTCGGTTATCTTATGTTCAAGGCCAAGTGCTTTTAAGCACCTCGCTGACCTAGTGGGATGGAATCAGATGGGAGTGACATTGCTAGTTAAGAATATCACTAACTCGAGTCTTCTTTGCTAGGGTTCTAAACCTGACCAAAAACGTGCCAAAGATTGGGAACAGAAATGCAAATCAAGCGTAACAGGTGGTGGTTCCTCAATCATCATCCACAATTCGACACTATCAGAGAACTCGTTGTCGGGAAACTCTTTAGGAATTGGTTCCATTGCTAGAAGCTCTGTTAATGAAACGGTACAGATGGGTTACTTTTAGTCGGAAAGTTGGAAAATGGCAAAACTAATTATTTTATGTTGCAGAAAAAACAGGCCCGTCCAACTTTTAATATTCAAGCCCCGCGAACGCCCGAATATCAAATGTTATCTTAAAGTTCCTCTGTTCCCTTAACCATAAGAAACGAAAGTGACGAAGAAACAGACACAGACAGTGATGGGACTGACAGTGATAAGCGAGATCTTAAGAATCTTACGTTTGATGAGTACGTGGATGGTGAAGCTGTGCGTGTAGATGGTGGTGACGATGAAGAGACTCCTGATTACAATGATGATGAGGTCAATGTGGAAGCTGAACGGGACAAGCAGGGAAGCAGGTTAATTATCGAAGAAATAAATAAGATGAAAGCAGAATACTCAGAAAGATACCATAAGATACGTCCAGAGAACAAATGGAAGTTACCTTCTGGAAAGTTTGCAGAGGATATTCTCTACGAGTACACACTAAATTTAGAATACGAAAGGTAAATAATTTAAGCTAAAGTAATGTACAGAGTTTATTATACTGTAATCACAACTAATCTATAAAGTTTTGCTATCAGCTACTTGCACAGCTTTATAATTGATACAAGCGATGAGACGATTATGAATCTTTTCAATGATCTTGACAGGCATCACATTAATACATATAATATCCTTCCGGAACCACAAGTGGATGATAAATTACTAGACTTTCTTTTACGCTACCGAGAAGTGAGTATTATCAATTACTATTACTATCTGCGTAGCGATATTAATCATTATGTTACAATCTTGTCCTCTAGAAAACCCTCAAGGTCTACGTAAGTTAATCAATGCTGGTATCGATTTACCTTCTTATGACTCGCAGAGAGATTTCGACTATCACTACATACACGAAGTTTTCTCTCATTTGTGAGTAATTGATAGCATTTTGCGAGTATCTTTACATTATCTAACCAAAATTTGTTATTACAGGCTTCCACGATATGAACTTAGGCCTAATGACTATACTAATTCACACTTAGAGGGCTGGTTCAAGACAAATATCTGGAGCGTAATAGTAGACTGTTGTCTTTTAGATGTGGTGAATTCAGAATTCATACGGTAAGTGTGCTTATTGGATATAGAGATATAAAATTTTTTAATGAAATTTCCATTTCTTTTAGTGGTGAAGGTTGCTCTCGCGCTTCAGGGCAACGAAAAAATAAGGGAAGAAAAAGTTCGGAAGTTAGAAAGATTCTTTGGCCGTAAGTGTGATGGAATATTACGGGAATTAGGGACACCAGATGAGTTTGCAATAAGCGAAGAAGGTAGATTATGGGATGGAGAAGACGGAACGAAGTACTTGAGTGATGGATTAAGGAAACTACCAAAAACGATGCGAGATACGCTAGCCCAAAAAGTAAAAAAGTTCAAACTTAGTTCCGTAATATCTCACCAACTAGAAATTGTAGGCTTCCTTCACTCCGGTAAAATACTGTACCTCTTATTTGAATAGTATCTTTTAAGAGTTTTATCTTTTCTCTTCTAATAAATATTCTTTTATTTATTATTATTCCAGGTCAATATCTCCAGCAGTTAGTCATGGACATTCCATGTGGATCTATTTGTCGACTACGCAGATATCCTTCTACAAAAATTCCGGCAAAATTGGATGAGATAGATGAACTAATTACCATGGTGAACGATATGCTAGTTGCGAAGGTATTCTCAATTCAATTTTGATTCATCAATTAATAACTTATATCTAATATAATTTATTTTTATTTAGTTACGTATCAGAAGATGTTTTGAATCTATAAATAACATAGATTCTTCTAGTAATGAAGGGTTAAAGAGGCGGTTGAAGAACCGAAAAGAAATTAAATCAGAGGCGGATAACCTCCCTGATACACAAAAAACTCCGAAAAAAAAAAAATTAAGGAAAAATTAGTTGGTTATACGAAATCGAAATTTAAGTATCCATGATGTAATGAGTATCAATATCACGATTTCAAGGTTTATAACTAATAAAAGCATTTAATAAAGTTTCATTATTTTTTAACATGCATGTGCTTGAGTGTATATGTGAGAAGGCGGGTTTTGAAATCGAAACAATTAAGGCTACTGTGCCAAAATTCACTCAAATATGACCGCCATGGTCACAGCTACCGAAAATTTTCCGATTTTGATGAATATCAAATTTTACTCAACTGTGACCACCTTGGTCACACTTGCCGAAGTTTTTCCATGTTTTAACATTATCTAGTCATGTATGCTTATCGTTTCTACAAATAAAATCAATGTATACACTTATCAATTATTTTTAAATCCTATAAATGATGAACTGCTACCTTCTATTCTCCTGCAGATCAAAGGCGAGATCTGATTGGCTGATCTGTAACTCCTCGTGATTTAAGTTTCGAGGATCTCGTGTGATACGAATTTTTTAATTTAGCCGTTATATTGTCTCGGATCTAATTTAGCCAAATCGGCCGGGGTGATGTCGCCTGTTAATCACGAGAAAAAATATGAATCTGTTTTCACCCAAACAATCGAATACAAATGAATATGATATTTTATTATAATATACTTGCTATAAATTGCTATAAGTCTTTAAAACCGCTATAAATCATCAAATTCACTATAAATTGCTATAAACTCCCTATATTCATAAAATGGCTAAATCCAACAACTATAATGGCTTGAATCCTGTAGTAGTGCAGGCGCTAAACAATCTACAATATAGGTATAGTGATGAAACACCAGAAATGTGGTGTTCTCGTGTTTGTTATCCATTTAGGACACTTCTCGAAAATAACCCAAAATACTTTTTGAAGAATGGATTTATTCAAATGATTGAAAGAGAATATATAGATGGGGAATTTAAAGCTGGGAGACGCTCATTTCATATTTATTGCACTGTATGTGACTCCTTGGTAATTATCCATGAAAATACTATTGAATGTGCAAATAAACATCTGAAGAGTGTATTGCTAAAACAGCCAAAAGGCATATTGTATATTCTAATCCTATACAGAAAAATGTGAAAAAAAGAGTATCATCAGAACTAAGTGATGATGAGATTGAAAAGATTTATCAAACATTTGGTTTTATATTCAGTAAATGCTGGGCTAAATTTAGTTATGAATATGAATATGAAAATAGGAAAAGGTATGTCAATCGTTTAATTGATAATGCAAAAGTTATCCAACAAACTTGGAGAGCTTTCAAGTTAAGACCCGACACATGGGCAAAATGAGTTTGGAATATGGTAAGAAATGATGGTTCTCCCAATAGGAAGAAATACTTAGATATACTTTTAACTCGTGAAAGGAAAATAAATCTTCAGACTCAAGAAGAATATGATTTACATATCAACGAATATATTAACTGCCTTAAAAAAGCATATAATGAAAATCTTGCTCAAAAATATATTAAAGAATATCTAGCCAAACGGGTTACAGAGTACAAGGAATATAATTATTATAATCCTAGTGGTTGGACAGAAAAGAAGAAAGACCAGCTATATATTCAGTTAATTACTATAACATATATAGTTACTTTTATAAAATCGTATCAGCAGGGTTATAGATTCGTTGGTTATAGTGATTGGATTATTATGCTAAAATATTTAGCAAATCCTGAATAATATCGTACTACTAAAGATAACATCAACATATATGTAAACTTTGTTAAAATTTCAGAATATGCGCAATATAAATGTAAAAAGGAAGGCAAACTATATTCATATAATTCGCTAGAAATTAACATGTTTAAATCTTCCTATATTTCTACTTTTGACAGAGGGAAAACTATTATAGATTTCTCAGATTTTAACAATAACTGTGAATATATGTAATAAATTCTTCAGACTATAGAATCAATATTAAAATAGTATATTTTATATTCATGTATAAATTATAAATAAATCAATCAATTTATTTTTTTTTTACTTCGCTCATGTAACACTCTACATGTAGTGATCGTCTAGTGAAATTGTAACCTGCAAACGCTATACATGATCTACCTATTCTAGGTTAAATCCTCAAATTTATAACTATTTTAATAAAGTATTTTTCGAGAAGTTCAGGAAGATCAATGAAGTGATTTTGGGAATTCTTGATTGTGAGACAATACAACTATCAATTTGAGAATTTCTATGTAGTAGTTATCCAGCAAGCTTCCAAGAATTACAAAAAAAGACCTGAGTCTTTAGCAAAACAGGTTTGGAAGATGATGAGGAATGATGATACTCCTGACAATAAGAAATTTTTAGATATTATTCCTCGTAGTAAAACATATTATTTCATTAATGGAAAACTAATAGAATCTAATTATGTGAGTGACTGATTTTATGTAGAAAATAAGCATAACATTTATTTTGCTGATACTTGAGTAGAAGCAAAGAAAAATCAGTTATATAGATGATTATGTACTATAGCATACATAGCTACTTTTAGAGTATTATATCAGCAAGGCTATATAGTTATTAGAAATACAGGCTGGTCTGATATGTTAAAATGGTTACAGAATCCCAAATATTATCATATTAATAAAAAATATAACTTTGAAAACATCATCAGAATTTCAGATTGCGAGAAATATAGAGGTAAATCGACAGAAATACAAAGAATATGCTGATTTCTGCCATTAGAATTCCTATACTATATTCACGAAAAGAATGTTACTGTGAATTTTTCAGATTTAGATGATAATTGTGAGTTTGTACGCTAAATTTTCCAGATCAGTCCTTGATCCAGATCCTGAATATTGTCTTAATAAATAATATATTGTCCAGTCACAATGCATGTTAGCGTGTATGACATAAATTAGCACGTTTTCGATCCTTGTTAAAGTGCATATAATATAATAGGTGATACTTCACAAATCATCTGTAACTCTGTATGACTATTTGTGTGACAAATTAATTTTCACACATAAGAAATCGATCCTCAAAAATATTTTGAATTTTTTTTCCTTACAACATTTGACCGAATAATATTTAGCAAAATAGCATTTACTGATATGTATGTTTACTCTGAAGGGATAGAATATTTCTATTATATTTCAAATAGAATAATATCTATATACTTGCTGAGTCTTTGTGCAGTTGAGCGAAAAAAAAGATATATGCATTATCCCCAATACCATTCTAAATGTCGAGATCTTTAATACACATTTCACATACCCTTATTCTCGAATACAAAATTTTAGCGTAAAATGCCTTACATATTTCTCTTATCTCTTTTTTCCAATATGAATGCGAGTTAGAGAGGACGTGAATGGGAAATGCAAGACATTTAAAAAGACAGTATGGCGAAAAGGTATTGAAATTTACTGTACATTATTTTTTTACTTCGCCTAACAAGCTTTTCATTAATATGAAAGAATTCCTTTTAACAAGAGAGCCTCTTAATATCATCAGAATTTCTACAGCGTTGTTTGTACGTATTGAATAAGGTGAATAGACGGGCGTTCTCAAAAAGGAAGTGGAGAACTTTGAAAATATTCTAGAAAGAGTTTTAGAACAAGTTCCCTCAGAGAATGTTAAATGAAAAAAAAAGCTTCAAAGTTTTGGTACTAGAAAAAAATTAGCGAAATGGGTAAGGGCGATAAGCTATATTCATGTCAAATATATAGATATGATGTATTTTTTTTAGGTTTTCTAAAGGGCTTATATGCTAGTGAATAGGTTATATCTGTTGTAATATTATCACTTCTTGCATAGCAGTAGCTAGTTATATGTACCTGAAATATTGATTATTGAGTTCATTGCTGGCATTTTTTTTGATAGTTTATGAAAATGAAAACCTAATCTGATCTTGTGAATTGTTATTCACTTTAATTAACAAAATATGTTAAATCTAAGCTAAGTTAATTATATTTAGGTTACAAGTGCCTTCGAAGATTTATGTTCTCTTACAGAAATAAAGGCTTTGATGATTGATGTGAAGACTTAGCCTGATGATGCAAATGCAAATTTGCATTTTTTAAAACGTGATGTTGGTCAGCTTATAAATGAGAGCATTAATTATAAGAAAACTATGTGGGAAAGAATTAAAATGGAATTAGAACAAGTAGATGTTGAAAGCCTTAGATTCGACCACCCAATATGTTCTGAGGTTCTCGATATTAGATCTGAACCTTTTACGAAAATGCCTAAATCATTTTGTGATATTTTTAAGGAATCTTTTCAAAAATATAGGCTAGATCAGAACAATATCATAATGGATGTTTGTAAAGAACATTTATAATGAAAAATCGAAGATTAATGTAAATGATGATTTGAGTAATGTTGAATATGAGAGATGGCTAGATAAGCCTGAGATGCTTTAAACAATGTCTAGACAGATACTAGAAGCATTGTAGGTTCTTTATTTTTTATTCGTATAAGAGATGATCAAATTTCTAACAATCAATAATTCTTTATAGGCTTAAAGTCTGAAAATCACCCAAGTACGAAACTTATTCGAAGAAAAAGAAACCGGTTAATGAAGGATCATACGTTTGTGAAGTACTTGCGTCTTTAATAAATATAGTGTTAAGCGATTTACCTAGGAATCCAGTTGTATGGGATATATGGTAAGTTAAAACTGGATGTGGATTAGCTCAAATTTGGAGCCTTACTTTGTATCACGGTATAATGATTATAATTTTTTCAATAGGAAAGAGGAAGGAAGCTCAGCTAGCGCTATACAGAAAGGTTCTCGTAAATTTATGCGAAAGTCCGACTGTATGATTATAGTACAACTAGGAAAAAACATAGAGCTTGAAATTGTATATCTAGAAATTAGTAGACTAAACTCTATCCAAGACAAATGACAATGAGATCACAAAAAGTT